ATCGATTGTGATTGAAAAACTGTCAGCTTTAGAAATTGTTTAAGAACACAAGAACTATACAAACGAGAGGAGGCCATTCGGCCCATCGAGCTCGCTTGGGGAGAACTTAACTACTTGGTACCAATTAGAAGAAATCCTGTTTTTTCACTGTTAAGTTTGAGGAAATTAGAAGAAAACTAACATTTTAACTCATTAATGCAATCAGTAAGTGAGGGGGTGGGAGGGTGGAATTGGGTTTACTAGAAAGATAGAGCTGGGTATCATCTGCGTAGCAATGAAAATGACAAGAAGGGGCCCCAGGACAGAGCCATGGGGCACACCAGTGGTAACTGGAGAGGGCTGGGATGTAAATGATTTAAGTTGAACAAGATAGAAATTAATCTATTTGGAAGAACGGAATGAGATATAGTGTCAAAGGCCGAACTCAAATCAAGTAGAATTAAAATGGTAAGTAAACCGGCATCAGCTGCCATGAGGAGGTCATTGGTGATTTTGATAAGGGCAGTTTCAGTGCTATGTAGGGGGCGGAAACCAGACTGGAATTGTTCGTACAGATTATTTTGAGTTGATTTGTGAGGCTACTATTTTTTCAAGAATTTTGGAGAAATAAGGTAAATTAGAAATAGGGTGGAAATTATTAAAGTTGTTAGGATTTTTCAAAATTGGGGTGATGGCAGCGGTTTTGAGAGATAGGAACAATTCCAGTGGTAAGTGAAGAGTGAATAATTTCAGAGATGAGGGGAAGCAGAGATGGGAGGCAGGTTTTAACCAGAACACTAGGAAGGGGGTCTAATTGACAGGTAGAAGATTTTGACTTAGAGATAAGGTCTGAGATGAGCAAGTCAGTGGGAAGCTGGAAATGTATGTGAAAACGGGTTGATATCAGAGGAGGTACTGGAGGAGGTGTGTGAGCCCAAATGCTGGTGGATCTTGTGCATTTTCTCATTTAAAAATTACATTAAGGAATTACAGAATTCAACAGAATACAGGTGAGAGGGTAGGGAGTCCAGAGGCCTAATAATAGTGTTAAACAGTGTAAACAAAGACTTGATGTTTCCTTCATTTGAACATATGATACCAGAGTAGTAATTGGATTTAGTTTGAGCAATACAACCCTTATAATGTGAAATATGATTATTGTACATCTCTCAATGAACAACAAGACCAGTTTTCTTATATAGAAGTTGTCGACCTTTGGCTTTAAGAAGCCTTATATAGCTACATACAAGTGTAAGCAAGCCCGAGTCTTTATTTAATGGGGAAAGATGAAGACAGAGCATTGAAGACAGACATGAACTTTTATTAAACTTGTACCCTCAATGGTCTGCCAGTTTTACCATTGTATGTAAGCTGTATGTAATTGGACCTTTTAAGGTACAGAAATAATTGGTACTTTATTTATTGATCCCCATGGGGAAATTGTTTTTACGCCTCCCTCAACTTGCTCTTTGTAGAGCAAGCTGTCCGCGAAGGGCAGCCACCCGTAGGGACGCCCAGGAAATGGACTCTGAGGAACATTTCTGTACCATTGATGATACATTAATGTTGTTTGTACCTTTGGGATGTTAATCAGAGTCCATTTCTGTACCGTAAAAGGTACAACTGCATGGGTACTGCCTGAGTGACAAACAAAGGTAGACAATTTTACCCTTGTTTTCTGAGGGTGTGCTGCAATTGACCTAGGTGCTGATCCTCCCATGAACTTAAGTCAAAAAAGCAAGTACACTTTTGAAGGTACAAGGAGATATTGAAAGTAGGATTCAAGTGCTTTATCTATTACATACAGGGTATGCAGTCAGACCTGTAGCTTTTTTTTATATTATAGACCGGCCACAGAGTGGTCTGAGGAAGCCCCGATGACATCACACTGAGTTTCCGCGTCTCTTCGACTTCACCCTCAGGGAATCCTGAGTTGCAAGACTGGCACCATCAGCGAAGCGCCCCGGGATACCGGCAGGCACGTCTTCCTAGAGCTCAAGCGTTATGTTTGTGGTTTTTCCTGTCCTGCCTGCCTGCCTCCTTGTTTTTCTGATTTCTTTTGCCCTTCAGACCTCGAATTCTGCCTAGCCCGACAACTGATGACGCATCTCACCCGAACCCTGTTCTGTCCAGCCACTCTGAATATTGCCTAAGCCCTCTGATTGCCAACACCAACCACCAGACCCATTCCTGCCCACCAACTGCCGCCCAAAGAGGATACCAATTATTCAACCTGGTGTGACTTTCCAGAAGGTGATCAATCTTAGTGAATAATGAACAAGATAACAACATAAGCAAAGAACGAGTAAGGTCTATGCACGTTTCCAGAAACCCTTCGTTATTCCAGAATTAAGGAATGAACTTTAAGTAGTATTTTGTTGACTCCTCCCCAGCCTCCTCGTGAGAAAAGCACAGACTGTTGATAAAAGGAACATGTAACCCAACATTCTATTGGCCTTTTTTTATTGCTTCCCCACACTGGCAAGAGTGGGACATAGAAGCATCAACATACACACCGAGGTCTTTCTCATAATCAGCTACCTTTATTTCAGTGGAACCCATAAAATATCTGTACTTTATATTTCTGCTTCCTGCATGGATTACCTTACATTTATCTGTGTTAAATTTCATATGCCAGGTATCAGCCCAGTCGCTAATAAAATCAAGATCCCGTTGTAGCCTCTCTGCTGCTAGATCAGTATCTGCTACACCACCCACCTTGGTGTCGTCTGCAAATTTAACCAGTTTTCTATATGTATTGGTGTCAATATCATTAATGTAAAATAGGAACAATAGTGGTCCTAAAATTGAACCCTGCGGTACCCCACTATGAACACAGGTCCACTGTGACATTGCGCCTCTAATAACTACCTGCTGCTTCCTGTCAGTTAACCAGTTTTCGATCCAAGCTGCCACAGTTCCTAAAACCCCTGCAGCTCTGATCTTAAGCAAGAGCCATTTGTGGGGGACGACATCAAAGGCCTTCTGGAAATCTAAGTAGACCACATCGTAGGCCTTTTTGTGATCAATTTCTCTTGTAGCTTCCTGAAAAGAACTTAAGTAAATTAGTTAATCAGGATCTACTTCTCCTAAATCCATGTTGGCAATCCCTCAGAATGTTATCTGAATATCAGTGCTGGTCATCACCGCACGGCACATGGGAGCTACTGCAGCTGTTGTTCCCATGGAGTTTGCGCCCCACTGTGTTAAGGTCAGTATACAGGGCTGTCAGGGCTGGGTACTTCAAGGAGAAAAACATGCTAAGGGAAGCTGCGGCATCGATTCTACTGGCCCAGTTGCCGACAGGACACAGCTATTCATGTAATGTGGTGATGTGTGCACAGCACTGCAGAGCGTGAGCTGGCAGTTCGAAACCTCCCCTGCAGCCGTACTTGGTGGGTGTCCCCATGGAGCAGGTGGGGGTGGACGTCCTGATCCTCCACACTGAGGCCAGAAACCGCCATGCACTACTTCACGAAGCGACTCCAGACATATGCAGTTCCCGACTAGAGCGCCACCACCACAGTGGCTAAGCTGCTCAAGGAGCTTTTTTTGCAGGTTTGGGGTTAGGGCTGGACAATAATTCGATATCAATATATATCGCGATATA